GTCTTACATCTAGACAGGGTGGGTTCGGATCATTGCCCTCTTCTACTTAAAGCTCAGAGTAACACGAGAGTTCAGGGGACTCGACCTTTTCGTTTTATTGTTGCATGGCAGGACCACCCTCAATTTAAGAATTTCTTGTCCGAAGCTTGGAATAATGATTTGGATGGCCTTTTGACAAGGAACTCAATCGAACTCTTTTGGTACTTATCCCAAAAATTAAAGTACCAGAGTCGTTTAACCATTTTCGACCCATTAGTTTGTGCTCAGTTTTATATAAGCTGATCACAAAGATCATTGTGAATCGGCTGAAACCTTTAATGAGTCTCTGGATCTCGAAAACTCAAACAAGCTTTGTCCCTGACAGGTCGATCACTGATAATATTATCGTTGCGCAAGAGGTAGTCCACTCTATGAGATTGAAGAAAGGAAAGACTGGTTATATGGCTATCAAGATTGATCTTGAGAAAGCGTATGATCGACTTGAATGGCCTTTCATCGATGACACATTAAAAGAGCTTCACATCCCGGACAATCTTAGGATGCTTATCATGCGTTGTGTGTCTTCAGTCTCGACTCAAGTGCTTTGGAACGGTGCTATGTCTGCATCGTTCAACCCATCAAGAGGGCTTCGCCAATGTGATCCTTTATCACCTTATTTGTTTGTTATGTGCATGGAGAGGTTAGCATATGCGATAGCTGGTGCGGTGACTAATGGAATGTGAAAGCCTATTCGCTTGTGTCGTAATGGGCCTGCTCTCTCCATCTATTCTTCGCCGATGACTTGGTTCTTTTTGCAGAGGCTTCTATCGAGCAATGTAATGTTTACGGGGAATATTGGAGCTATTCAATTTTTCGGGACAAAAGATCAATATCCAGAAAACTACTATTTATTACTCAATGAATGTGGATTCGAGCTTGAAAAATTCTATCAGTGCATCTTTTGGCTTCCAAGAGGTTCAAAATTTGGGTAAGTATCTTGGAGTTCCTCTTTTACATTCTCGGATTACGAAATCTTCGTACAATTATATTGTTTCGAGAGTTCGTGATAAGGTCTCAGGGTGGACGGTTAAAACTTTGTCATTGGCTGGAAGAATCACCTTGGCAAAAACAGTGCTATCGGTTATTCCTTGTTACTCAATGCAATCAACGAAGCTTCCGAAAGGGACATGTGACGAGATAGAAAGGCTAATTCGAGGTTTTATTTGGGGACATACTGAGACTAGAAGTGGAGTACATCTCGTTCATTGGGAGAACATTTGCAAACCAACTGTTAAGGGTGGCCTGGGTATGAAGAAATTGAACGTACAAAATGAGGCTTTTCTCATGAAACTAGCTTACAAATTGGCGGTTAATTCCGATCAGTTGTGGGCTAGAGTACTACGCACAAAATATAAGTGGGTGGAATTGATACCCGAGTCCATTAATCGCACGAGAAGTTCGCATGTTTGGAAGGGTATATCTCAAGTATGGAACGAGGTGAGACAATACTTTGTTTGGAATATTAGTAATGGGTGTACTGTTGACTTTTGGAGGGGGGATTGGCTTAGTGACATGGGACCTTTGGAGAGTTGTATTGTCAATCCAGCAGAAAGAAACAATCTCCCAAGGATATCAGTTTCTTCTATGATCGATACTAATGGTCAGTGGCGTTGGGATTTCATCATTGACAAACTGCCAAACAGCATCATTCATCGTCTGGCAGCAACAATGCCCCCACGGCAAAACTGTCGAACTGATACTCTGGGTTGGAAATGGAATGTTGACCGGCAATTCTCGGTTAAATCAGCTTACGAGTTGAGGCGGGGAATTTTGAATGATGATTCGCATAAAGTGTGGGAGGTGATATCAAAGTATCGAGGATTGCAGCGAATTAAAATCTTTTTATGGTTACTAGCGAATTACGACTACTTACTAATGCAGAGCGAGTCAGACGACATATGGCCACATTTAACAGCTGTGGAATCTGCGGACAGTCAGGCGAAACATCATCATCTCTTTCGTCAGTGTCATATGGCTATGGCTATTTGGTCATCATTAATTAAAACGGAGAAGTTAGCGGATTTTTTCACAAGGGATTTCATAGATTGGATGCAAATTAACATCGCTTCTCCGGGGTTTTATGCACGTGAAGAAAGTGATTGGGACTTATTGTTTGGTTCGATTCTTTGGTTGATCTGGAAGAACCAGAATAGAAGATTGTTTGATCCAGATTATTTTGAGCATGAGTCTGTACTAGAAAAGAGTAGGCGCCTCACTCTTGAAGCTACCTGTGCATTGGATTCAGCTTTGTCAAAGTTCCAGCCTTCTCATCGTTCCTCTACTATGTCCGATATTTGGCATCCGCCTCCTCATAATTGGTGTAAGGTTAATACAGATGGGTCTCGTAACGTAGAAAATGGATTAGCGTCATGTGGAGGCGTCATTCGATCCTCGAATGGTGGTTGGATGTTTGGATTTTCTAAAGTGATCGGAGTTTGTTCCATAGTTGAAGCGGAGTTATGGGGTATCCATGAAGGTCTCTCTCATGCTTGGAACCTAGGAGAAAGGCAAATCATAGTGGAAGCAGATCGTTTTGAGGTTGTCCGAATGCTAAAGGTAAACTCTAAGAGAGGCTCGATTTTTACACTTCTTGACCGCGTTTTTGAGTTGATTAACTGAGATTGGAATATTATTTTGAGGCATATAAGCCGGACTACAAATAAGGTGGCAGATTGACTAGCTAAGATTGCCATAACAAGAGGAGAGGTTCATAAGGTATTCTCCGTTCCACTGCGGGAAGTGGTTGAATTAGTTCAACAGGAAGCTGCCGACTGCATTTTGACAGCAGAAGCTTAATCTACTGCAGTTTATTTCTTTTGTTCACAAAAAAAAATAAACGAACGAACATGAACAAATGTGTGTTCAGTTCGTTTATTTTCACGAACAAACTCGTTTATGTTCACGAACAAACTCGTTTATGAGCTCATTTATCGACTAGTTCATTTTTGTTCATGAACATGATTGTTTACTATGTTCCTCTTCTTTTATTTTTTTACATTTTAAATATTTGTGAAGATAGAGACTAAATTTAACACATGATAAAAGTTAAAATTTAAATTGTAAATTTTAAGGAGTTTAAGCACCAGTGGTGTAACTTTGTCATTTTTCTTTAGCTTACAAATGAAAGTGTAAATGACAACATATACTAAAGGAACACTAAATGAATGATAAATGAATAAACTCTAAATGAACCCTAAAGAAACATATTAGTGAACATATAAATGAACATGTTCGCAAACATTAAACGAGCATGTTCTTGAACAATAAACAAACAAACAGAAACACCTTCAAAAATAAATAAACGAATATGATATTAAAATTTAAATGAACACGAAGTGAACAAAAATATCTTAAAAATAAACAAACAAACACGTACATAACCTTGTTCATTCAAGCTCGGTTCATTTACGCCTCTAACTCTCACATAACCTTCAAGGCAGGAACACATCTCTTTAAGAGCTCCTAGTTTCTTTGAAACTAGTTTAAAGATCAGGAAATGGGAAGGCTCCATTGCAAATCAAGTAAAATCAAAACAATGCTTAGTTTGGAATCTAAGGCAATCATTTTTTAATAGTTTGAGTGATTATAAAGTTAATATCTATTCAAAACTTTATTAACTAATTGACAATGCACACATACTATGTAGATAGAGCTTTTCAAATCGAAGACCTCTGAGGAGAACAACATCCCCTTTAACCACTCAATTAATTATGTTACAATTGACATTGGATTAAACATTGTTTTGAACGAATGCTTTCCCTTTCAAAATAAAAAGTTCTAACTTTTTGACTTTGGCATGTGAGAGAAGCTCTTGCTTCTCTCTAGAGCCCCAAGCCCAGGCGTTTTTAAAAATTATTTTCTCCACCCACATCCACCGTCCGTCGCCGCTGTCAACCGTTCGTCGTTACACTCCGACCTCTGTTTGACGTCTTTTTTCCTGAAAATATCATATGTTCACGGTGATTCCAAATCTGGGCTAAGATTTGTGATAAAGTCTTTCAATCAACGTAGATCTACACACCAAAATTCCAAGACAGCACAAATATGGGCTTAGATTTGTGATTCCAAATCATTGTTGTTCTGCCTCAAGACAGCACGGGAAGCACCAAGATTGGCGACAAAGAGTTCCAACACAAATAACAACAACCAGACAACATGATCCAACAGCTGCGATTTGCGGTTTCATAGGCCACTATTTTGGTAACGAGGGACAACAAATCCTCTTCTGTTGCTTGATATGCTTTCCGTATCAAATCAACTGACGTCCATTGTTGCTCTGAAGTGAATCCGAAAATTAAAAATATCACCGATACCAAACTTTCCTTCTCCTCCGCCATCACAGTCTCTAGATGTCGTGCCCGCTGCCACCTCTGGTAGCCATTGACCTCGGATCAGGAGCTCTTCTTTCACCTTCATCACAATTAATCAGGCGCCAAGTTTTGTATAAAAAACTTTGTTTGATTCATTCCGGTTCCAATTATCTTGATCTGAGTTTTGGGTCCCTTCTCCACAAAATCGATTGAGATCAGTTCGGCGTAGAATGTATCGATCTCCTACGGCAGCCGTTGGATCGTCTCGGATCCGAGGTAGGTTGCTCCCGAGGTTATACAATGCCTTCTCACCTTTGGGATTAGCCAAAGGAGAGGTCAGACTTCGGTTAATGGCTCTGCTCGAGAGATCCGAATCAAAGGTGGCGACTAGGAGGAGACAACGGGTTCACCAATCACAACCGGATATCAAAACTCGCGTCAATTTTTACCAAATGAATCATCATAGGCCTTCGGTTTCCTACGATGTTGCAAAGAAAAATGTTAATGGTGGGTCTGGTGGGAATCGGAAGTAGCCAGTGACCGGTGGTGGTAACCGAGGACAGGTGAAGTCGAGATCGTCTGAGGAAGTGCTTTTGAGATCCCGATTGGAGGCTACGTCGGCGACGGAGGATACTTTTTTTGTAAGGAAAAATGACGGATGTTGACCAAGATGGAACCAAGGAGTTCACCAAAAAGGGGTGTTCCGATGACAATTCTACTGCAGTAGTAAGAGGAAAGAGAATCGGGTTTCATAATTGGTGGAAAGAAGGCCACCCAAAAATTCGTAATGGGTACAGAAGCGGTTGCTTCACGTTATTTATCGAAAATTTACCAGAGAATATCTATTGGAAAAGGTTTGGATCTTTATTTTGCACTCACGGTCGGGTTATTGATGCCTTCATTCCAAACAAAAGAAATTCGAAAGGGCTTCGCTTTGGTTTCATTCGTTTTGCAACAATCGAAGAAGCAAGGAAAGAGATCTCAGAAATGAATGGATCTAATATCGATGGGAGAAAAATTAGGGTATCTTTGGCTAAATTCAAACCTTGACAGTCTTTTTGGAGAAAGACCTCCACATCTGTTTAATGTAAATCTGGGATGGAAGGTGTTTCGACGAATAAGCATTGTGAAGTTGAAGGTGTTATTGACGAAGATAAACTTCACGTGTTGAGTAAATGTCTAGTGGGATGGTGCAAAAAATTTATCAAAATCGGTAATCTCGCTAGTCAAATGCAAGCCAAGGGCCTCATTGGTTTCTCGTTAATGAGAGTTGCTATAAATGCAATATTAATGATTTTCGAAGACTCTGCTTCATTGAGAAGTGTGAAGATCTATAAACCAGAGACTCTCGCAAAGTGGTTCTCCAGAGTCGAAACTTGGTCAGAGAGTTTGGTAGTGGAGTGTCGTCGAGTGTGGTTAGTTTGCGAGGGTGTTCCTTTTCACGCTTGGAATTGGAATACTTTCAAAAACATTGCAGACAGGTGGGGTTTTTTATTAGCAATCGACGAAAGCTGTCAGTCACCATCATCTTTTGATCGGACAAAAATTCAAGTCCTCACAAAGGCTCAGGTGAGAATTGATGAGACGTTGGAATTGAAGGTCGATGACAACTCCTTCAAAATCATGGTGCATGAGATTGATCCTTCATTCAAACCAAACTCTTGGGTCCCTGAAGAAGTCGATTCTCATTAGATCTCATCTCTTCAATTGTGGCTTTGATTTTGTTTAAATGATTGCATGTGTTGGTTTTCTTTTATGTTATGTTCTTTTGCGTTGTTTTCATCATATTGCTAGAGGTGTAACTTACAAATAGGGTGATTGTCGATTGTGGGTTTTGGTTGAGGATGTAAGAGTTTAAGGTGTTTGTTGTAATGTGTATATCACCATAGGTGGATATTTTGTGTTTTCTTATGTATTGGGTATTATTATTAATAAACTATGAGATACTCTTTTCTTCCTTCCAATGATCGTTAACATACTTCTTAGTATGTGGACGAATACGAAGGGAGTTTTTAATGAGACATCCAACTTCTATAAAAAAAAATGCTTTCCCTTTCCAGCTAATGATATGGACAATGAAAATAACTAAAGAAAGAAATATTGTTTGAAGACTAGATAATTGCATTAACAAGTAGCATATTGAAATGATTCAGTAGAAAATTGAGAAGATTTGGATTCAGTGGTTGTCGAAAATCAACTCGAGGCTTTCGACAAAATCTTACACCAAAAGGAAAAGAGGTGGATTCATAGAATTAAAGCTCTTACAACATGTACGCAACTAAGAAACTGGCTGGAATTTGGGGTAGAATCTCTCATTTGAAAGTTGACAACCTGGGAAGCTTATCTCTTAGATAATACAGCCTCGCCCTCCTCACTTTCCGGTGCTTGACTACTTTAATCTCCTTTATGTTTGGCGAGTAACTGCGGTTATAAATTAAGAAACGATAAAACATAGATCAGCAAACAAGATTCTGCATTCCATGAGCTGAATCATCATAAGAAATTACAGACTTATATACAGGGCAAATTGAGCAAAAGATGAGTTCAAGAAATTCAACTTCCATCGCAAGCAACAAAACATCAAAAGAAGCCTGATATCGTAACAAACTGCACGACTTCATGGGCAATGTTTGAAAACGTGAAAAGTTAACAATTAACCAATATTTTAAATGTAAACCTAAAGGTCTTTATGCATAACACAAATCAACCAAGATTTTAGCCAACTATGGTGAGACAACTTTTAGACTGCGCCCTTAATAGCCACAGATTCATGCTAACCTCAATTTCTACCAAAGTAATTTCATCATAGTGATAGCCATGGTATACATCAACAAATGTAAGTTCCACAAATGCTATAAAAGACCAACCATCTCAAATAGCAAGAAAAAAATAATAATCTAGGACTACAAATAAAAGTGAAATTATGAAAATCTTTATCTGTTCTTATTTATTTTCATGACTTTTATAAATTCAAGATTATGCAGAAATCTAGCTCCCACAAGTTCTCTTTCTCAGCTTCAAGATGATGCATTAGTTGGTTAATTAGGCCAAACAGATGAACAACGAGTGCGCTTGAACCAGATGAAGGAAATGGTCTTATGGTCAATCATAAAAATTAAGCATTATTATAAAAGAAATACTTACACGGGGAATACAATTTCAACTCCAATGCCAGCAATAATTCTCCGAATTCGAATGGTGGTGTGGATACCGGCATTTTGTTTTGATATGACTATACCTTTGTACACAGACAGCCTACGCTTGTTTTCCGGTACTTCCTGTAAATCAAAGGAAACATAAGAATGACAACCAAAACACATAATAAAATGGAATCCAGTATGGATATTGAGAAACTCGAATTACCAATTTAATCTCTACAATATCACCAGCCCTAAGATCTGGAGTTGGCCTTTCCTTGTCTGATGCTTCAATTGCTCTTTTATTAAGTATCTACTCACAAAACAGCAATTATATCATCAAATTAAACAGAAAATCAATCGAAATGACTCGACTATCTAAATAAAAAGAACTTAACCATCTCAAAAAGAAATCGCAATGCCAAAAGTTCAATTCTCTTCTCGATTCCTATATAAGTGAATAAAAGAGACACTTTATTATAAACATAAAAGCCAGTAAAAGATGAACCAAATTACCCCCATAATATCACCAAGTTTAACCCGGGGTTTATATGGCTCCTTGGGTTTCTCTTCTTCAACCTCATCTTCTCCTCCCTCTCCTGCTTCAACTTCAGCTTCCGCTTTCGTTTCGGGTTCTTCAACACCATTTTCATTTGCTTCAGCTTCAGGGTTAGATTCTGCTCTCACAATGAAATCCCTTCGAGCAAAACAACCGAGATCGGACCCAAAATGGAATTTCAAATGAGTCCCAGAAACTGAAACCTTGGAAGCGGTTAATGGAGAAGGACCACGAGACAGAAATGCTGAGAACCCAAGGTTCTTAACTGGATTAAATGACTTGACTTGGTTTATGGGGATCATATGCAGCGCCTATAAAGAATCAAAATTGAATGTAGAAAAGGTAAACAAATATTGAAAATAAATTGAGAAAGTTAAGGAAAAAGATGAAGATTTACCTGAGGGAAAAGTTGGGAGGCCATGGTGTTAGTAGGGAGTCTCAAGCGATCGACACTGCCTTATCTGCTTTGGAGAGGGGCTGGGGACAAACTTTAGATAGAGTTCTGTAACCGGTCGGATCGGGTCTAACTTTCTAAGCCGCTGTCCCCAAAGTTTTCTTTCCCTTAATTAAAATTCGGTGGTTTAATAGTTTTTGGGAGGTAAAAAGGCATACGTGTCCCTGGTACTTTTGAAAAAAATTAATGTGGTTATTGAATTATATTTTTAATTATTTTTATTCTTTAAATTAGAGAATAAATTTATTGTAGTTATTTGATGAACTTTTTCATCGTTAACCGTTAAAGTGTTGACTTGAAGATTCATAATTTGATGTGACAGTGGTTGATGATGTGACGGATAATATGGTAGATTGGTTATTTGGTTTTGTTCGATTGTTAAATTGGTTTCTTTTGAAAAGTTTAAGAGTTTATTTAATTTTTTTAAAATAAAGTTTATTTTAAAATTTAAATATTAAAAAACTATATATATATATATTAAAAATACTAAAAATACTATTAAAAATTAAAAATAAATAAATATCATTAGCTATAAAATGATAAAATATAAATTATTAAAAAATCAAAACCAATTTTAAAAACATATATTAATATATTTAACATATGGTCATATCATCAACCTTATACAAAATATTTTAACTGGTTTAGCTGAGACTTACATACTCTAATTGGATTGTTCGAAGTATGATTAAATGTATGTATTGATAAAAAATATTTATTATTTTTCTATTTATATTTAAATACAAACTTTGTATGTCTCGACTAATCCAATAAGAATATTTTATATAAGTGTTGATTATATGACTATATATTATATGTACATATTATCTATAATATATATTTTTTATAGTTTATGATTTATATTTTATTTCTTTTAATTTTTAATAGTATTCTTAATATATATTTAAATTTTTAGTTTTTTTTTTATTTTAAACTTTTTGAATATTGTATATTTAAATTTTAAAATAAGGTTTATTTTTCTAAAAATTAAATAAATCCTTGAACTTTTTTAAAAATTAATTTGGCCCTCAAACAAGACCAAAAAATCAATCTAGTCCATCTACATGTCACCCGCCATGTCATCATCCATTATGGATTGCCACGTCAGTATTGTAAACCACCATGTCAGCACTGTGAATGTCATGTCAGCACGTAATGGTCAACGACGGGAAATATTAGTCAAAGAGCCATATTGAATTTTTTTTCTAAGTTGGAGGGCCATATTGCGTGAAAAAATAATTCGAGGGCTACCTTGATTTTTTTCAAAAGTACAAGATGCCTTTTTAACAAAAAATTAATATGATTCAAACTTTTTTACATTTAATATGACTCTTAAATTGAAAAAAATTAATTTGGTTCTTTAATCAATAAAACCAAACATTGATCGTTACGATGTTGATGTGATAATTTGTGATACTGACATGATAGTGCACAATATTAACATGGAAGTCCATGGTGTCCACAATGAGTAATGATGTAACACAGGGACTAAATTGAATTTTTTGATCAAATTTGATTATCAAATTATTTTAAAAAAAAATAAGAGTCTATTTAATTTATTTCTTAAAATGAAAAACATTTAAAATTTAAAAATATTCAAAATTTTAAATATAAAATAATAAAAATATTATTAAAAAATAAAAATACATCTCAAGTAATAAAATATAAATTATAAAAAAATAAAAATTAAAAAATATTTTAAAAGGTATATATTATACATATAACATATACACGCAAAGTCAAATTAATAAAGTCAATATGCTTTTAATTATATATATATATATATATATCAACCATCACTAAAAATGTTATACACTTTCATATCATACATTTACACATACTAAATATGATTTTATTGTCGTAGGTCATATCATAAACACTTGTATAAAAATATTTTTAG